ACACACTGTGCTCAGATATTTCTCCTTAACTAGAGGCTCTGGATCTCTCACATTTGTCTCCTAAAATGTTTAGATTAGAGATCTCAACAACATCACACACTGTGCACCAAGTCAAATGCCTCAATATGAGCTCAAATATGTCTACCATATAATATGTATTCATAATCAAATTAGTCAATAATAATCAAGACTGAGTCATAAGCCATGTATGTGCCTTTCAGCAAAGAAAGCTCCAGGGTTACATTTTCTGTAGATCAGTTTTGATTAAGGCATCTGCTACATTACTATTTCCAACAACAAATGATGTGCCTTAAGTACATAAACATTGTCTTATAAAAAGTAACATTATCCTTATTTCTGCATAATTTCTCTCTCAATATAGCCTTTAACTCTGAATGTATGCCCCCCCCCCTTTTATTTGGTGCCTTTCAAGTACTTCACTTGATGCAAACTTTGTAAAGTATGTTTAAAGTATTAATAATTATTTAACAGAGTGATATATTTGTCAGTAGAGTAACTAGTTGTATTTAAAGTAACAATAAAAAAGCAAATGTTATGCAAGTGAGGATTTACAGTTACTGCACCTTATTCATCCCTCAACAGTGGTGTTTTTGAGCCCTTGACACTAGATACACCGGGCACACTGATCCTAATGTTTGTGATTGGGAGCAGGTTCTACCTGCACATAATGCAGGGATTTTGTCTTGTAATCCAAAGGATCAGAAAATCTGTAAATCTGTATTGTAAGTGCTTATATCATCTCAATGACGTGAATTGTGTACACAGTTCCAGAAATATACAAACACGTCCATAAACTGGTCCTAATTTACTCACCCTCATTCCAAATGCATGCTGTTTTTCTGTGGAACACAAAAGGGTATTTTTTTTTAAATGTTCACATAGTTCTTTTCCATACTGGATCATTGAGTCAGGAATGGGAAGTCTCAGAAGTTGACAGCTGTGCTATGTTCCCCAGTAAAAAGTAAGTCATACAGGTTTGGAACGACATGAGGATGAGTAAATAATGACAAAATAATTTCTATCCAATGAGCAACAACGGTATGAGACATTACCAATTGCGTGTGTGGATTCCTCAACAGGTCTTCTGGGAATGGTGGCTCATATGATGTACACACAAGTTTTCCAGATCACAGTCAGTTTGGGACCAGAGGACTGGAGGCCTCACACATGGGACTACGGCTGGTCTTTCTGGTAAGCGTCTGATACTTCCAATCACATTTGCATCAACAGCCTAAACTTGATGGAAATAATAATAATAATGATAAAAAAATGAATGCTTATATTCAGGAAGACCATTAAATTGAGACAAAGGAGCACCATAAAAGTATTGTAAAAGTAATCCATGACTCTGTATTTTGAGTCATTTGAAGTCATATGATGAGGTTTGAGTGTGGATGTTAAAAATGAATTGAAAATTCACTTTACATTCGCCCTTACTCAGGTAGTGAGAAGCAGCGACATCCGATTCATGACTAAACTCTATATATTTTCACCCTTAGTAGTTCCTGATCAGTAATTGAATGGATTTCTCTAGAGCAGTAGCTCCAAGTCCCTTCCCAGTACTTGGTGCTTTTACTTCCATCCTGTGTTATATAATTCACCAAGGCATTCTCAGAAGTCACAGATGTGCAGTTGTTTGGTCCTCATTCTGCGACAAATGAGTCTGGCTCTTGCAGACCTTTCTCATTTCAGGTTCACTTTCTTATGGCAGCTGTGGCACAAACCTTATGTTGGGTGGTGGTGTAATATATTTGTTAAGCACTATGTGTGTGTGTGTGTATATATATAGCCCCAAAACATTACTGCTCTAGAGTAGATCTGCATGGAGGAATGGGCCAAAATACCAGCAACTGTGTGTGAAAACCTTGTGAAGACTTACAGCAAACGTTTGACCTCTGTCATTGCCAACAAAGGGTATATAACAAAGTATTGAGATTAAATTTTGTTATTGACCAAATACTTATTTTCCACCATAATTTGCAAATAAATTCTTTAAAAATCCTACAATGTGATTTTCTGGATTTTTTTTTCTCATTTTGTCTCTCATAGTTGAGGTATACCTATGATGAAATTTACAGGCCTCTCTCATCTTTTTAAGTGGGAGAACTTGCACAATTGGTGGCTGACTAAATACTTTTTTTCCCCACTGTAAGTGCTATCTTTCCAACAGAACTGACAACATAGAGGGGAAAAAATCCAATTTAACCTTCAGAATGGTTTACTCAGTTTCTCTCTGTACTATGAGGCCACGTTGACCAATATAAAGCCCCACCACCACAAACAAATTTATTAAAAAAAAATTTTTATGTTTATGAAAGAAGTCTCCACTTATCAAGGCTGCATTTATTTGTTCAAAATACAGTACAATACTGTACAATTATACCTGTTTTCTATTTGAATATATTTTAAAATGTAATTTATTCCTGTGATTTCTGAAGTGTATGACTGGGTTTGTGCTCCATCTGAATGACTTGCTTTCTGTTCATCGCTGCAAACTGGATGAAGGAGTCAGGAGGAAACTCTAAAGCAGTTGCAGGAATTTATGACAAAGAGTGGTCATTGTGTGCATGTGACAACAATATCACAAATCTGCCCTACAAAGACAAAAGTCCTTAACTCGCTAGAGTGTGGAACTGAGAAAAATGACTTGAAAGATTTTAATTGTCCTGCCAAATTAATTATAGGTAGGACACTGGAAATCTGGCAATTAGATTAACACGCCAAGGCAAAAGGCAGTAACTTCCACATTATCAATATTTGGTTGCTGATCACCATTTACAAAATAATTATAGTAACACCTGTATAAAATCTAGTGATCATGGGCTATCTCATAGGCTATAACATATAGTATTGTGACTGTATTAATAATTTTTTCTGACCGTAACAACCAGAAAAAAAGTTAAACATTTGAGTGGATACCGTTTTGCAACCAATTTATTTACAATGTTCACTAACGTAAAAGGATGCAAGACGTAGCCTAATTGCTTACATTAAATTTACTGAAAATAGCGTAACCTGCAACGCACAACTACTGTAGAAGTGGGCAGCACCAGACTGACAGGCTGGCACTGAGGGAATAATCTGCATTATAAAAAGACCAAAGAAAATAAATAAATAATCTCTAAAGATTATTTGCGATTACCTATTGATGCCAAGTTATCTAGTCTTTGCTTGTTTACAGTGCTTTGTTATATGGAACAGTTTGGTAGATCACGATCTATCTAATTAGTTTGTCTAATGAAGTGGTTCAGTAGCAGGTGTATGAAAGTACACAGATTACATCATAATTTAAACATGGCAGACTTTAATGGACTGTAAAACAAAGGCAGAATACAGTATAACTCCAGGCTGGCACTGTAACTTCATATTGACGCACAGCTAAACAAAGGCAGAGTACCGTAACTCAATTTGAGCATTCCAAAACAAAGGCAAAGAGCGGTAACTGGTGTTATACGATGTTCTGCCTTGGTTTCTCCTGGGCTTTTCTAAGATACTGTTAAGACAACCATTATTTTCTCAAAAAAAACAATGAAATTGACTCAAGATACTTATGGACACGGTAAAGGAGGTCTTGAATGTCCCAAAAATATCAATAACTCATTTTCGACCAAAAACAAAGATAAGGCCTTTTGCTTTTGTATGGCAGAAATGTAGCTTGTATGGGAGGGTTGCAAGAAGAAAACCACTCCTCAAGAAAGGCCACATGCAGTCACGACTGAGCTTTGCCAAAATGTACCTTGAAGGTTCTGAGGCAGATGAGACTAAAATTTAATTATTTGGCCAAACACCAAACAATATGTCTAGCAGAAATCCAATACAGCTCGCCATCCAAATAACAGCATTCCTCCAGTAAAGCATGGAGGTGCTAATATCCTGTTCTGGGTGTTTCTCTGCAGCAGGGACTGGAGCACTTATCAGGATAGAAGGAAAAGTAGATGGAGCAAAATACCATCAAATAATTGAAGAAAATCTGCTGTCCTCTGCCAGAAAGTTGTCAATGGGAAGAAGGTTTACCTTCCAACATGACAATGACCCAAAGCAGACAGCAAAACTGAGCACACAGTGGTTGAAGGAGAAAAAGGTGAATGTCCTTGCATGGCCTAGTCAGAGCCCAGACTTAAACCCCACTGAAAATCTGTGGAAGATTGCAGTCCACAAACGCTCACCATCAAATTTACCTGAATTTAAGCAGTTCTGCAGAGAAGAGTGGACAAATATTGCAAAGTCTAGATGTGCAAAGTTAGTAGAGGCATATCCCAACAGACTAAAGGGATACTGAATCCAGCTGGATAAAACAAAAACTGTCCGTCTTCATTTCAGGCTGCAATGCAACAAAATGTGATTATTTTAAAGGGGGAATTGTATATTTATCTATGTATGCAGTATAATCCTGTCTTTTTCATTTGATAAAAGAGGTACAAAATTGTCATTTTGATTTTTTTTTTCAAATTTGTTTTTAGACTAGATATAGGAACTAAGCACAACAGTTCTTTATTCTTTAGAAACACACTGAATCATTTTATACCGTCACACAAAATTAAGTGTTTAGTTTTGTGGAAAAAAGACATGAACAATGTTTCATTCAATATAAATAATAGAAGCCTCTTACGTTTTCAACTGAAAAGGAAAATGCAACTTATCTCTTATATCTTGAAAATCTTACAAGTGCCATTTTATTTTATTTTATAGTTTTGCTATTGTGACTTGCGTTCATTCAAGGGTTATTTAAAGACCTTATAAAGTTATTGTAATGAAGACACATCCCTGACTAAAAGAAGACATCCAGCGTTTGCTGTTATAGGCAATGTTATTATTGCCCCTTAACATCTGGAGCTCAACAGCATGTCTGTGAGTTCAGGCTTTATGCTATTCAAGCTATTGAATTACACAGTATTTACTAGAAGCCATAAAACTGCTTGCTGTAGCAAGTGCTTGCATGGCTTAGAACCTGCCTTCAGCAGAAGCCCAGATCAAACAGACAGTCAAATTAAAAAGGATTGATCTTGCAGTGCGAAAGCTAGCAGATTAAGTTTATGCTAATGCAATGCTCTTTAACACTCATGTAATTGTGTGAAATTAGACAGACAGTGAGCATACTTCCATTCATTTGTGTTTCATTTTCCCACCTTCATACATTATCAAAACATCTGCAAGCCTTTTTTTTGCAACTACTACAGACAGTCAATGTGTCTAAATATACATACTTTCCTGCTACACATATGGAAAAAGCAGTATGTCAAATGAGTGGGTTTGAATAATCAGCATTGATACAGTAACCAAACAACATCTGAATGACTTGCTTTAGAACTTTCAAGGAATTATTGTTTGGAAAAAAAAAATACAAAACAGTGCATTGAAATTGCCAGTTGTTTAAAAATAATGTTTGAAATAACTTTTGAGTCATTCAATACTTAATCTGTAGTGTTTATTAAAAAATAATACTAAAACAAAAGATGTAAAAATAATATAAAGGTGGGGTAAGCGATTTCTGGTACCCAATGTTGACATTTAAAATCACCAAAACAAACATGTCCCTACCCCAAAATGGTCTCGCCCCTATTTTGATAGCTCTGCCCCACACATACGTACGCAACCCAGGCAACGATTAGTTCTGTGAAACAAAGCAAAACCAATAACCAATGTTACACCGTGTCTACACCGGGCGCGAGTGGCGTGACAAAATACTATAGAACTCATTATAATCAGTGATGCTGTCTACACCATAGATATTAGTGATGCGCGGATGAGCTAAAACTTCACCCGAATCCGCAGCTTCAAATAAACTATCCACCCGCCAACTGCCCGCACCTGTATTTTTGTCTGATTTAGATAACCGCACCCGATCATCACATTAGGGTTCGTACGGTCATGAAAAACCTGGAAAAGTCATTGAACAGCAATTTCCAGGCCTAGAAAGTTTTGTAAAAATAAATAAACTCAAAAAGTTTTTGAAAAGTCATGAAAATCTATTTCACAAGTCTCTGTATAATAGAATTATGTTTAATCAGATCCTGAATTTCGTTGCGGGATTGCGCGTACATCGCATTACTCATTCCCACAGCTTTCGACTTTAAAATGAGGGAAATTACTGCAAAACCTTTATTCAATATAGCGTGTAGGTTAGATGAGTAAATAAATCCACACAAACCATCAGATGAAAACAGCATAGGT